TGTGAGTCCTGGGGCTTGAACTCAGGGCCTGAGCCTCTTTGTGCTCAAGGCTGGCACTCTACCACTTTGAGCCATAAAGATGGCGCCACTTCCGGTTTTCTGATGGTTTCTTGGCCTGGGGCTGGCCTTGAACTGTGATCCTCCAGATCTCAGCCTCCTGAGTAGCCAGGATGATCAGGTATGAGCCGCCACAGCGCAGCTCACTCGTTGTAAGGATTTCTCTACACCCATTGGTGCGGCCCAATGGCCCAACCCATTTCCAGGGTGGTGGGCATGCGCCGTGGACGCTGGGCCTCTGCTTTCCTTGGTCTTCTGTGGAGAGAGATGGCGCAGAACCTTCCAGAAGCAGTCCTTTCATGGGCTTTCCTGTTTCCTTTACAGGATCGTAGACTCACAGACTCCGGTCTCCTCTCTCCGTACCTTCCGCGTGTTCAGAGCCTTGAAGGCCATTTCCGTAGTGTCAGGTAAGTGATTTTTGTTTTTAAAATCACCAGTGGCTCTTAGAAAATATAGTGTGTGTGTGTGTGTGTGTGTGTGCGCGTGTGTGCATGTGTGTATGTGTGTGTGTGTGTGTTGGTACTGAGCTTGAACTCAGACTCTCACTTAAGGTTTTGTTTTATTCCATGCCAGGCTGGTGGGTGCTCTACTACTTGAACCACAGCTCCTCTTCTGGCTTTTTTTTGACTGGTTCATTGGAAATTGGTGTCTCTCAGATTTGCCAGCCAGGGCTGGCTTTGAACGGTGATCCTCAGATCTCAGCCTCCTGGTAGCTAGGATGACAGGCGTGAGCCACTGGCACCTGACTCTGTGTGTGTGTGTGTGTGTGTGTGCGCGCGCGTGCGCACCAGTCCTAGGGCTTGAACTCAGAATCTCCTCCTCTTACTTGGCTTTGATGCTCAAGGCTGGAGCTCTACCGCTTGATCCACCCCCTCCATCCTCTAGCTTGTTTTTGCTGGTCCACTGGAAGAAAGAGTCTCTTGGACTTTCCTGCCTGGGCTGGCTTTGAACCATGATCCTCTAGATCTCAGCCTCCTGAGTGGCCAGGAGGACAGGGTGCGTGCCCCCACCGCCGGGCTCCTTGCCCAATTCAGATGGGAGACACTGAGCGCCGCTCCAGCCCCTTGTTCTTCTCCCCAGGCCTGAAGGTCATTGTGGGCGCCTTGATGCGCTCGGTGAAGAAGCTGGTCGATGTGATGGTGCTCACCTTGTTCTGTCTGAGCATCTTCGCTCTGGTGGGCCAGCAGCTGTTCATGGGAAACCTGAACCAGAAGTGTGTCAAGGATAGCTGCGCAGGCACCACCGACTGGGCCACCAACGGTAAGCCCCGCCTCTGGCCTGTGGAGGCCGTGCGGGCTCCTTCCCATCACCCACTTCTTAGGTAATGAATTGCCTACGTTTAATGCTTTCCTTTGAATGAATGGCTCAGATAGAATTCCTTTTTAATATTATGGCCAGTCTCCTCCTCCTCCTCTTTCTTTCTTTCTTTCTTTCTTTCTTTTCTTTCCTTCTTCTTCTTCTTCTTCTTCTTCTTCTTCTTCTTCTTCTTCTTCTTCTTCTTCTTCTTCTTCTTCTTCTTCTTCTTCTTCTTCTTCTTCTTCTTCTTCTTCTCCTTCTTCTTCTTCTCCTTCCCCTCCTCCTCCTCCTCCTCCTTTGTGTTGTGTGCTAGTGCTGGGACTTGAACTCAGGACCCCAACACTACCCCATACTACCCCCTAGCTTTTTTTTTTGCTTAAGGCTGGCTCTCTACCACTTGAGCCACAGCTCCACCTCTGGCTTTTTGCCACTTAATTGGAGATATGAGTCTCAGATTTGTCTGCTCAGGTTGGCTGGCTAATGTTTAGGTGGCTGGCTGGTTAGATAGATGGATGGGTAGGTAGGTGGGTGGGTGAATGGGTGGGTGGATGAATGGATGGATGGATGAATAGATGAATGGATGAGTGGGCAAGTGGTGCATGGGTGGGTGTATCGATGGATGGGTAGGTGGATAGGTAGATGGATGGGTGGATGGGTGGATGGATGGGTGAATGGATGGATGAGTGGATGGGTGGATGGATGGGTAGGTGGGTGGGTGGATGGATGAATGGATAGATGGATGTGTGGATAGTTGGGTGGAAAGATGGGTAGATGGATAGATAGATGGATAGGTGAGTGGGTGAATGGATAAATGGATGGGTGGATGGTTGGGTGGATAGATGAGTGTGTAGAATGGATAGATGGATGGATGGGTGGGCAGGTGGCTGGGTGAATGGATGGGTGGTTGGATGGATGGGTGGGTGAGTGGATGAATGAATGGATAGATAGACAAATGGAGGGTGGGTGGATGGATGGATAGGTGGGTGGGTGGAAAATGGATAGATGTATGGTTGGGTGGATGGAAAATGGATATATGTATGGGTGGGTGGATGGGTGAGTGAATGGGTGGGTAGATGTATGGTTGGATGGATGGATGGGTGGGTAGAATGGATTGATGAGTAGGCAGCTGGGTGAATGGGTGGGTGGTTGGATGGATGGGTGGATGGATAGATGGATAGGTGAGTGGATGGATGGATAAATGAATGGATGGATGGATGGGGCAGGTGAATGGGTGTATAGATGGATGGTTGGGTGGATGGGAGGATGGATGGGTGGATGGGTGGGTGGGTGGATGGATAGATGTATGGATGGATGGGAGGATGGATGGATAAGAGAGTGAGTGGATGGATGGGTGGATGGATGGATGGGTGGGTGGATGGATAGGTGGATGAATGGATGGATGGGTGGATGGGTGGGTGGGTGGGTGGATGTATGCATGGGTGGATAGGTGAATGGATGGATGGGTGGATGGGAGGGTGGATGGATAGGTGGATGAATGGATGGATGGGTGGATGGGTGGGTGGGTGGATGGATGAATGGGTGGGTGGATGGATGGGTCAATGTATGGATGGGTGGATAGATGGGAAGATAGATGGATAAGAGAGTGAGTGAGTGGATGGATGGATGGATGGGTGGATAGATGGATGGATGGGTGGATGGGTGGATGGGTGTTTGGATGAATGGATAGGAAGATGGATGGTTAGGTGTATGGATGATGGATAGGAGTATGGATGGATGGGTGGGTGGATGGGTGGTTGATGGGTGGATGGATAAGACACTGAGCAGATAGGTGATGGCTAGAAGATATCTGAATGGATGAGTGGGAGATGGATAGGGGAAGGGATTAATAGGTAAGTGGTAGACAAAACAAAATAATTAAAGAATAGGGATAGCTGGGTGCCGGTAGCTCACACCTGTAATCCTAGCTACTCAGGAGGCTGAGATCTGAGGATTGAGGTTCAAAGCCAGCCCGGGTATGAAAGTCTGTGAGACTCTTATCTCCAATAATCCACTAGAAAACCGGAAGTGGTGCTGTGGCTCAAGGGGTAGAGCGCTCGCCTTGAGCTGAAGAGCTGAGGGACAGCGCCCAGGCCCAGAGTTCAGGCCCCATGACCGACAGAAAAAAAAAGAATAGGGATAATCTGTCATGTTCTTTTTCACTTCAGGGTGTTTTTCTTAAAATCTGAATTTGCTTTTTTTCTTCTCTCAGAGGCTTGCTTTGAAAAAGAAAACAATGACAAAGAATTCATAATGTGTGGCATGTGGGTTGGTAGCAGGTAAGAGGTTGAAATGCTCCATTTTACTACCAAGCAGAAAGCTTCCAGATCTTGTAGAATTGTGTGCATGCAAGTTCCACACGTACGGAAGGAAACAATGGTGACACTCCTTAATCAGTGCTGGTTTTGTTGTTTGCTTGATTTTTGTCAGTTGTGGGACTTGAACTCAGGGCCTGAATGCTGTCCTTGAGCTCTTTTGCTCAAGGCTAGCACTCTATCTCTTTAAACTACATATATGGCACCACTTCCGGTTTTCTGGTGGTTCATTGGAGATAGAGTCTCATGGACTTTCCTGCCTGGGGCTGGCCTTCAACTGTGATCCTCTTGATCTGAGCCTCCTGAGTAGATAGGAGTACTCTTCCTATTTCCCCGAAAAGCTGCTAATATGACAGTATTAATCAATTCACTGGAGAACAATTGGGAAGTGATCATGTTTAGGATGACAGTGGCTCATGCCTCTCAGCCTAGCTACTCAGGAGACTGGGATCTGAGGATCTCGGTTCAAAGCCAGCCTGGGCAGGGGAGTCCGTGAGATTCTGATCTCCATTGAATTGCCAGAAAACCAGAAATGGTGTTATGGCTTAAGTGGTAGAGTGCCAGCTTTGAGCTGAAGAAGCTCAGGGACAGTACCCAGGCCCTGAGTTCAAGCCCCAAGACTGGGACAAAGATAAAGAAAAAAAAAGTACATTGTTATGGATGGAGAGAGGGTTGGGTTGGGATGAGGACAGTGATTCCTTCTCTGTCCCTCTGTTTCCCCAATCTAGATCTTGTCCCAATAACTCTAAATGCAACAAAACCCGAGTGAATCCTGACCATGGCTTCACGAACTTTGACAACTTTGGCTGGTCTTTTCTTGCCATGTTCCGGCTCATGACCCAGGATTCTTGGGAGAAACTGTACCGACAGGTTAGCCATCCATACGCCCTGCCCCTCTCTTTCTGCCATGATCTCCCTCCGGTTCTATTATTTGACAAAACAAACAAAACAATTCTAACATTTGCCAGGCACTGATGCCTCACACCGGTCATCCTAGCTACTCAGGAAGCTGAGATCCCGAGGATCATGGTTCAAAGCCAGCCTGGGCAGGAAAGTCTGTGAGACTCTGATCACCAATGAACCACCAGAAAACTGGACATGGAACCATATATATGGCTCAATATATATATTCTATATGGTGTGCTCTTTCTTTCTCTCTATGTATGTATATATGGAGATCAGAGTCTCTCAGACTTTCCTTAATTTTGAACCGCCATCCTCCAGATAGCATGCAAATGAGATGTAAATGAGATGCAAATGAGATACAAATGAGGCTCCCGTTCCTGGCAGACGCTGCGCACGTCCGGGCTGTATTACGTGTTCTTCTTCGTGATGGTCATCCTGCTGGGCTCCTTCTACCTGCTCAACCTCACCCTGGCTGTGGTCACCATGGCGTATGAGGAGCAGAACCACAACGTGGCCGCCGAGACCCAGGCCAAGGAGAGGATGTTCCAGGAGGCCCAGCAGCTGCTGCGGGAGGAGAAGGAGGTACGGCCTGCCCACCCCCCCCATCCTGTGCTCTCCCTCCTCCCCTCCCCTGTCCTCTGGGCGCTGTCCCTCAGCACTTCAGTTCAAGGCTGGTGCTCTACCACTTGAACCACAGCACCACTTCTGATTTTCTGGTGGTTCCTTGGAGATCAGAATCTCATGGATCTTCCTGCCCGGGCTGGCTTTGAACCGCAATCCTCAGATCTCAGCCTCCTGAGTCACTAGGATGACAGACGTGAGCCCTGGGCCCTCAACTTCCTTCACTGCTGTTGTTCGTTTTCCTAAGGCACTGGTCGCCATGGGCATGGACCGGACGTCGCTGAACTCCCTACAAGCTTCCTCCTTTTCCCCCACGAAAAGGAAGTTCTTCGGCAAGAAGCAAAGGCAATCGTTCTTGTTAAGGAAATCCAGGAAAGACCCCTCTCCAGGGTCAGATTCCGATGAAGAATCTACCAGAAATGTAAGGAATTTGAAGCATCTGGGGTGTGGAGGGCGGGTTGTGGGGGGGGGGTCGATGTCCTGAGGACGGGTTGCTGGGGATTCATTCATCCATTTCCCCATTTCCCCATTTGCACACCCTCCCTGCAATCACTTGTCTCCAAATCCCATGTGTTTATGAACCTATTTGAGCACTGGTTGCAATTTGCTAGGAGCTAGAAAGTACACATTTCCACCAGAGTGTCCGTGGCTCACGCCTGTCATCCTAGCGACTCAGGAGGCTGAGATCTGGAGGATGGCGGTTCAAAGCCAGCCTGGGGCAGGAAAGTCCATGAGACTCTTAATTTCCAAGGAACCACCAGGAAACCGGAAGTGGCGCCATATATATATATATCTCAAAGTGGTAGAGCACCAGCCTTGAGCACAAAGAGGCTCAGGGACAGTGCCCAGGCCCTGAGGTTGAGTCCCAGGACTGGCAAAAATGAAGACATAAATGAATAGATGCATAAAGGCTCATGATGGCCTTTCTTGCAGCCACGCCTTCTCCAGCAAACCAAGCGTCTGTCCCAGACTGTGCCCGTGGATCTGTTTGATGAGCGCGCCGACCCTCTGCAGAGACAGAGGGCGCTGAGTGCCGTGAGCATTCTGACCATTACCATGCAAGGTGAGGCCCATTAGCAAGTCCCAGGGGGACCTCTGACTCCAGTCCCTTCTCCATTCTTCCCTCCTCGGTCCTCCAGGAGTCTCCCCACTTCACTGCACCCACGTTTCTTGGGGTGGTGGTGGTGGGGAAGCAACCCCCTGTATCATCCTACAGAGAACAACGTCTTCTCCCTCTTGAGGCCATGGACGCGGAGTGGCTTGGAGAAAATGGCTCCCCTGGGCTGGGAAGGTGGCTCAGTGGCAGAGTGCTTGCCTCGCATGCATGAAGCCCCGGGTTCGATTCCTCAGTACCACATACACAGAAAAAGCTGGAAGTGGTGCTGTGGCTTAAGTAGTAGAGCACCAGCCTTGAGCCAAAGAAGCTCAGGGACAGTGCTCAGGCCCTGAGTTCAAGCCCCAGGACTGGCATAAAAAGAAAAAAAACACCCCAAACCCCTCTTTCTTGAGCTCAATACTATTCTGAGTCAGTCTTGAATTGTGCAACTAGCTAGATGTAGGATGGGACTTTTTGGTCAGTCCTAGGACTTGAACTCAGGGCACACTACCACTCGAGCCACAGCACCACTTCTGGATTTTTGCTAATTCACCAGAGAAAAGAGCCTTACAGTCTTTTTCTGCCATGTCTGGCTTCGAACCACGATCCTCGGATCTCAGCCTCCTAAATAGCTAGGATTACAAGCATGAGCCACCTGGGCTCTAGCTCTTAGCCTTAGGATCATGATTATTGTGCTTCTATGGAGGCTTGAACTCAGGACCTACATTCTGTCCCTTAGTTGTTGTTGTTATTATTATTACTATTGTTATTTTCACTGAAGGCTGATGCTCTACCACTTAAGCCACAAGTCCACTTCTGGCTTTGGGCTAGTTCATTGGAGATAAGAGTATCATGGTCTTTTTGGCCTGGGTTGGTTCCAAACCAGGATGACAAGAATGAGCCACAGTGCCTTCATTAGATCATCTATCTCAAAAGACCAAGAAGGAGAGACAAAAGCCAAGCAAAAGTCATTCAGAAGTCCGACACCCATGGCTCACGCCTGTCATCCCAGCTTATCAGGAGGCTGAGATCTGGAGAATTGTGGTTCCAAGTCAGTCCAGGGAAGGAAAGTCTGTGAGACCCTCATCTCCAAGGAACCACCAGAAAACCGGAAGTGGTGCCATATATATATATATATGTGGGAAACTGGAAGTGGCAGCATATATATGGTAGAGTGCCAGCCTTGAGTGAAAGAGCTCAGGGACTGAGTTCAAACCTTACCCCTGACAAAAAATAGCTCAGTCAGCCTCACTGCTGGGCAAGTTGAATTTGAATTCTTTTCATTCTTCCCTAGAAAAAGAAAAATCCCAGGAGCCTTGTCTCCCCTGTGGGGAAAACATGGCGTCCAGATACCTGGTGTGGAACTGCAGCCCACACTGGGTGTGCATCAAGAAGGGGCTGCGACTGGTCATGATGGACCCCTTCACCGAACTGGCCATCACCCTCTGCATCATCACCAACACCGTCTTCCTAGCCATGGAGTACCACCAGATGCCGGAGGAGCTGCACACCATCCTGAGAACAGGCAACTGGGTACTTGCTTCCTCTCAGCAAACCAATCAAGCATCTTGGAAATTGTGTTAACAAAATGGGGTCTTGGGTTCCCATAAGAATTGGAACAGGGGGGCTGGGAAGGTGGCTCAGTGGTAGAGTGCTTGCCTTGCATGCATGAGGCCCTAGGTTCGATTCCCCAGCACCACATAAGCAAAAAGGAAAAAAGCCGGAAGTGGCGCTGTGGCTCAAGTGGTAGAGCGCTAGCCTTGAGCTGAAGAGCTGAGGGACAGCGCCCAGGCCCAGAGTTCAGGCCCACGACCAGACCCCCCCCCCCAAAAAAAAAGAATTGGAACAGGGAACAGGTAACTTCTCTAAACAAACAAACAAAAAACCCTACTCAAATCCAGATTGGATGATGATGGTACCTCATGGCTGTCATCCTAGCTACTCAGGAGGCTGAGATTTGGATGACAGCATTTGGAGGCTCATCCCGGGGCGGGAAAATCCGTGAGACTCTCATCTCCAAGGAACCACCAGAAAACTGGAAGGTGGTGCCGTATATATGGCTCCAAGTGGCAGAGTGCTCAGGGACAGAGCCCAGGCCCTGAGTTCAAGCCCCATGAATGACCAAAAACATGCATCGTACTCGTGAACTGATAGATTGAATTGAAGCCACTCTGTGGCTACACCAAGATCATCATCAAAATGCAAAACAAAGAGGGATTCAAAAGTGTGTGCTCCTGGTTCAAAGGGGACCCACCATCAATCCCCCCATTCTCTCTCTTTCCTGTACCCCCAGGTGCCAACGGCTTTTTGTGACTGTTAGCTTTCCCCTCCCCGAGTCTTCATGCATAGATGCAATGTATTTTGGTATTTACTCTCAATAATCTCCCTCTTTCCCTCTAAACACTCTTACTATTATAAATATCTTTCCCTCCCTCCCTCCTTCCCTCTCTCTCTCCCTTCCTCTCTTCCTTCTTCCTTTTTCTCTCCCTCCATCCCTCCCTTTCTTTTCTTCCTTCCCTCCTTCATCTATCTTTATATGATCTATCTATCTATTATCATATATATATTATGTGTCCATATCATCCATCTGCCTATCATCTATGCATGCATCTATTATCTATCACCTACCTATCATCCATCCATCCATCCATCCATGTGTCTATCTGTCATTCATTTGCTTATTCATCTATGAATTGTCTACCTATCTCATCTACCTACCTACCTATCTCTCTACCTACCTGTCTATCATCTACCTATCTAATCTGTCTGTCTGTCTGTGTGTCACCTATCTAATCCCTTTTTTATATATTCGTATCTGTGTGTGTAAGCTGTATATACTTTCGTATGTATTTCTGCTTTGGGTTTAGGATCATCTAGGAGAGGAAGCCCGTAGCCTGTGACCTTTTGAGCCTGGCTTCTTCACACAGCCATGCTGGTCCCTGGAACCATTTATTTATTGTTTGTTTGTTGGTTCATTTGTTTTTGTGTTGGTCCTGGAATTGAACTCAGGGCCTGGGCACTGTCTCTGAGCTTTTGTATTCAAGCCTAGCTCTTTACCACTTGAGCCACAGCGCCACTTCTGGCTTTTTGCTTGGATGGTTCATTGGTGATCAGAGTCTCATGGACTTTCCTGCCCTGGCTGGCTTTGAACCGTGATCCTCAGCTCTCAGCCTCCTGAGTAGCCAGGATGACAGGTGTGAGCCAGTGGTGGTGCCCGGCTTCCTGAGCCATTCTTCAACAAGGATGCTCTGCCACCCGCATCTCCTTCCCCTCCGCCCCGCGGCAGGTTTTCACCGGCATTTTCATCGCTGAGATGTTCCTGAAGATCATTGCACTCGATCCCTACCACTACTTCCGCCATGGCTGGAACATCTTCGATTGCATCGTTGCTCTTCTGAGCTTTGTCGACGTCATGATCAACCTCTCCAACCAGCGCTGGTCTTTCTTTCGCTCCTTCAGAGTGGTGAGCTCCCTCCCTCTCTCCCCCTCCCTCTCTCCCTTCCTCCCACCTTCTCTCCCTTCCTCTTCCCTTCCTCTGTTTCCACTTCCTCCCTCTCTCCTTCCTTCTCATCTCTCCCTCTTCCTCCCTCCTCTTTCTCTCCCTCTCTTCCTCCCTCCCCACTTCCTCTCTTCTTCCTCCCTCCTCCTTTCTCCCCCCTCCCTTCCTCCCTCCCTCCCTCCTCCTTCTCTCCTTCCTTCCTCCTTCCTCCCTCCATCCCTCTCTCTGACCTTCCTCTTCCCCCCCCCCCTGCCCCCTGTCTTGGTCACATGAGTACTGGAACCTGAAGTCAGGGCTTTTGTCCTCTTGCTTGGCTTTTCTACCATGAGCTGGTGCTCTACCACTTGAGCTATGCAGTCCACTTCCAGCTTTTTGCTGATGAATTGGACATAAAAATCTCATGGATTTTTTTTTGTCTGCCCGGGGCTGGCTTTGAACCTGGATCCTCAGATCTCAGCCTCCTGAGTTGTTGGGTGACTGGCTTGCCTACACTATCCTTTAGGAAGGTCCATGGGCCGTTCACGGGCTTTTTTCTTTTTCTTGCTTGTCCTGTTCATTCATTCATTCATTCATTTTTGGTTGTGCTTGTTTTTTTTTTTTCCAACCAGCTGCGGGTCTTCAAGCTGGCCAAGTCCTGGCCCACCCTGAACACACTCATCAAGATCATCGGCCACTCGGTGGGCGCGCTGGGCAACCTGACGGTGGTGCTGGCCATCGTGGTGTTCATCTTCGCCGTGGTGGGCATGCAGCTCTTTGGCAATGCTTTCTGTGCCCAGAAGAACGTGACGCTGTGCAGGGCGGAGGAGCGCCCGTGCGTCCGGCGCTGGCACATGGGTGACTTCTACCACTCCTTCCTGGTGGTGTTCCGCATCCTGTGTGGGGAGTGGATCGAAAACATGTGGGAGTGCATGAACACCGCGCGGTGGACGCTGTGCATCATCGTCTTCCTGTCCATCATGGTGATCGGGAAGCTTGTGGTGAGATGTCACAGTCTGGCGGATTTATCTATTGTGTGTGTGTGTGTGTGTGTGTGTGTGTGAGGACTTGAACTCATGGCCTGGGCTCTGTCCCTGAGCTTCTTTCACTCAAGGCTGGCGCTCTCCCATATTGAGCCTTACATGGTGCCACTTCCGGTTTCCTGGTGGTTCACTGGAGATGAGTCTCCCAGTTCATTGGTGATCAGTCTCATGGACTTTCCTGCCCTGGCTGGCCTCTAACCACGATCCTCCAGATCCTCAGCCTCCTGGGTAGCCGGGATGACAGGCGTGCGTGAGCCGCTACCGCCTGGCTTTCCTGGTTGGAGTTTGACTCCTGGGATGGGAGGGTGGGGGAGGGGAAATTTTGTCCTCGCCCATCATTGGTACCTCAGTTTCCCCCCTGGTTCCCTTTCTTGCCGACTCCACTTGCAGGTGCTCAATCTCTTTATTGCGTTGCTGCTCAACTCCTTCAGCAACGAGGAGAGAGATGGAAACCCGGGCGGAGAGGGCAGGCAAACCAAGGTCCAGCTGGCCATGGTGCGCTTCCAGAAGGCCTTTGCTTTTCTGCTCCGAACTCTCCAGCGTATCTGCTGCCAGGCACGCAGGAGGCAAGAAGGGACGATGGAAAACTATGCTGCCGAGAACAAAGGCATGAATCCTTTGGTCACTGAGATGAAGAAGGGAGGATTGAAGTCCTGGGAGGAGCTGGATGGGTTTACACCAGCCCGGAAGACTTCTGGCCCAGGGCACGATCGGATCCCACTGGCTCCACTGGCAGAGGAAGAATCGGATGTGGAAGATTTGGATGAGGATCATGCCTTGCCCACCACTCCACCCAGGGCTGAAAGGCAGGTGAGAAGGCTCAGATAGCGACCAAGGGCTCACAAGACATGGCGAACGCGAGTTACCACCTGCCTGAGTCTTACCACCAGGCCAGAGCTTTAAGGGTTTTTAAATCCGGTGGCCAGATGGACGCTGGCAGCTCACATTTACTGAGCCGGCTACTCAGGAGGCTGGGATCTAGAGGATCGTGGTTCAAAGCCAGGAACGTCCGTGAGACTCTGATCTCCAATAAGCCACTCAGAAAACTGGAAGTGGTGCCCTGGCTCAAGATAGAGAGCGCCACCCTTGAGCTGAAGAGCTCAGGGACAGCGCCCAGGCCCAGAGTTCAAGCCCCACCACTGACAAAGATAAATAAATAACGTCACAGATTATTCTCATGGCAAACAGAAAACCAAGTGTGTTGGTTTCACAGCAAGCGAGGTTTCTAGCGAGAATATCAACCCCACTCCCAACTCTCCTCTGTTGTCAGGTCTGTGGTCCTCCGCACGAGACCAAAATACCCACCAGCCCAGGAGAACTGGCGGTGGAAATTGACGTGTTTCCCGAAGAAGACACTACTTTGGCCATACAGAATCCACGGAAGGTAATTTTCCTCATGGATCGTTAGAAGGAACATGTGATTCCCGCCCCCCCCCCCGCGCCTTATCTAGAATAGCTCCTTAGGAGGCTGAGGTTGGAGGATTGTGGTTTGAGGCCAGCCTGGGCAGGAAAGGCCATGAGACTTGTGATCTTCTAATAAGCAGCCAAAACCAGAAGTAGAGGTGTGACTCAAGTGATAGAGAACCAACCTTGAGTGAAAAAAAAATCAAGTGAGACCATGAGGCCCTGAATTCAAGCCCCAGTAGGGCCACAAATTGTTTTCTATAAAGAGAAATAAATATAAATATATATAATACTTAGTTTAGCATATATGTAATATAAATATAGTCTAACATACATGTAGACTAATGTATATAACATGTAATATATATAATTATATAGTATAATATAAGTAGTATACAACATATAGTCTGACATATATATATATATAGTCTAACACAACGTATTGACTATAAAGCTTAACATACATAATATATAACATATAGTCTAACATATAAGTTATATAATACATAGTCTAGCATATATAATATAAAGTATAACATATAATATATACAAGATATAGTCTAACATATATATAGCCTAACATGTAGTATATGATACATGATCTAACATATACCATATGATATGTAATATGTAGTCTAACATATATAATATGTAATATGTAGTCTAACATATGTAATAGTCTAACCTAATATATACAGTCTAACAAATATATAATATATAAAATAAATAATGTATAGTCTAACATATATACATAAATATTTGTAATATTATAGTCTAACAGGTATAATACACATATAATATGCAGTCTACATGGGTTATATAATATAGAGTTTAGCATATATAATACATAGTCTAATATATAATATGTAATCTACAATTTTTTTTTGTTGGTCATGGTGCTTGAACTCTGGGCCTGGGCGCTGTCCCTCAGCTCTTCAGTTCAAGGCGAGCGCTCTACCACTTGAGCTACAGCACCACTTCCGGTTTTCTGGTGGTTTTTTGGAGATAGGAGTCTCACAGTCTTTCCTGACCGGGCTGGCTTTGAACCGTGATCCTCAGATCTCAGCCTCCTGAGTAGCTAGGATGACAGGCGTGAGCCACTAGTGTCCGGCTAATATACAATTTTTGAATACATATAATAGTCTCTCTCTCGCTATGTAATATAAGTAATATAGTCTAAAAGGCATAATATATCCATATATGTAATATACTCTAACATAAATAACATACATATACAATACCTATTCTAACATGTATTCCATATAATATATTGTGAACATATATGTTATATAATATATAGTCTACATATATAATGTATAGTCTAAGATGTCATATACAACATATAGTCTAACATAAAATACATATAATTTATAATATATAATAATACACATATAATATATACAATATATAGTCTAACATATAATATATAGTCTAACATAATATATATACTGTCTAGTCTAACATATATGTTATATAACTATATATAATATTTAACTATATAACATATAGTGTAAGATATATGGTATACAACATATAGTCTAATATAAAATACATACAATATATAGCCTAACACATATAATATATATGATATATAGTCCAAGATGTTATATACATCCTATAGTCTAACATAATATACAATATATAGTCTAACACATATAATATATAGTCGAACATATAATATATACAATATATAGTCTAACACATGGTATTAATATATAGCTTAACAGATATAACATATAGTCTAACACATATCTAGCACATAGTTTGGCATACATAATGTGGGATATGTAGTTGGGCATGTATGATGTATTGTCTGACGTTTGGGGCGGGACCGTTATTTATGCAGTAGTTTTATGTTTTGGGAAAGTGTAGAATGTCAGCAGCATGGCTGGGTAATGACTCAGTACCTTGAGTGGCTGCTTCCTTGGGATCCTTTAAACGTTATCTCTAGATATGATCCAACACCAGGGTGATGTGGTGGGCAAGCCCTGCTGTCCAGGAGCTGAAGTAGCCGGGCAGCTTAGTGTCCACAGAACGCACGAACAGCCTCGCTGGCCCCTGAGTCCCCAGCGCGGGCCAGACCCTGTGTCTTCCCACGCCATGCTGTATGGAGAGGGAATCGGGTTGACCAGATGGCGTGGCACAGGACCCCCGGGGAACAGACCATTGCTTGTTACCTCTTGTGTCTGGCTGGTCCCATCCTTGGCCACTTAGGTGACAAGGAGCCAGTGTCACTGTGGTTAGACAGAGTGGGGAATGACGGCTCCCTGGGTTGTTGTGTGCAGAAGTCGGACGCGGGCAGCGTGCTCTCAGAGTGCAGCACTGTGGACCTGCACCACGGCCCGGGGTCCCTGGACGGTGACACCCCCCCTAGAAAGCAGCCTGAGCGCTGTCTGCCCACAGGTAAGTGCTGCCCAGCCTGCCCGCCAACAAACAGGCCTCTTCTTTGTAGCATTGGTACATCTCCCTCCCTCCCTCCCTCCCTCCCTCCCTCCCTCCTTCCCTCTTTCCTCCCTTGCTCCCCTCCTTCCCTCCTTCTTTCTCCCTCCTTTCCTCCCTTCCTCCCTCCCTCTCCCCTTCCTCCCTCCTTCCTTCCCTCCTTCCCTTCCCCCTTCCCTCCCTCCTTCCTTCCTTCCTTCCTCTCTCCTTCCCTCCCTTCTTTCTTTCCTTCCTTCCTTCCTCCCTCCCTCCTTTCTTTCCTTCCTTCCTTCCTTTCTCCCTCCCTCCCTTATTTCTTTCCTTCCTTCCTTCCTCTCTCCCTCCCTCCCTTATTTCTTTCCTCCCTTCCTCTCTCCCTCCTTCCCTTCTTTATTTCTTTCCTCCCTCCCTCTTTCTTCTCTCCCTCTCTTCCTTCCTCCATCCCTCCATTTCTTCATTCCTTCCTACCTTCCTTCCCCTCCCCCCTTCCTTCCTTCCCTCCATTCCTCCCTCTCTCCCTCCCCTCCTTCCTTCCTTCCTCCCTCCCTACCCTCCTTCCTTCTCCTTTCCCTCCCTCCCTTCCTATTTCCTTCTTTCCCTCCTTATCTCTCTTTCCCTTCTTCCCCCCTGCCTCTCTCCTTCCCTCCTTCCTCAAGGATGTCGTCCCAGTCTGCTTTCTAGCTGTGCGACCCCTTCCGTAGCACTCCAGGAGAAGGGAGGCAGTGATGGTGCTCGCTGCAAAGCATGCTGGGTACCAGATGAGGACACCTGGGTCAGGTGGGAGTCGGCCACGTGATCAAGCAGCATGGCACCCTCTGCAAAGCATTGTGGGTACTGAGAGCACAGATCAGGAGGAAGTGTGTCTAGGACACGATAAGCAATCCATACAGGCAGTCTCTTCTGGTGATTCTGGTTTGTTTTAAATTTTGGTCGGTTGTGGGTCTTGAACTCAGGGCCTGTCCCTGAGCTCTTTTCTGCTCAAGGCTGGTGCTCTACCACTTGAGCCACAGCGCCACTTCTGGTTTTCTGGGGGTTCACTGGAGATCAGAGTCTCACAGACTTTCCTGCCCGGGCTGGCTTTCATTCACCATCCTCAGATCTCAGCCTCCCGAGTAGCTGGGATGACAGGTGTGAGCCACGATGCCCAGCTTCCATTCATTTCTATTTCCATCTATCTACCTGATCACTTAGCCACGTAGCTGTGAAGCCGGCCACACGTGCCAGTCAGTTTCTTCATCCATTTAGCCATTTATCTTTCTGCTCTTTTTTTTTTTTTGGGCCAGTCCTGGGGCTTGAACTCAGGGCCTGTGCACTGTCCCTGAGCTTCTTTGCTCAAGGCTAGTGCTCTACCACTTGAGCCACAGCATCATTTCCAGCTTTTTCTGTGTCTGTGGTGCTGAGGAATGGAATCCAGGGCTTCATGCATGCTAGGCAAGCACTCTACCACTGAGCCACCTTCCCAGCCCCTCCTGCTGCTCTTTTACCTGGCTTTCTCTCTGTCTGCTGACCTCTTTCATCTACCCAACCTCTCTATTCTCTGTTGTTTGGATTTCTTTTTTGTTAGTTGTAGGGCTTGAACTTGGGGCCTGGGCGCTGTCCCTGAGCGCTTCTTCTCAGGGCTGGTGCTCTACCACTTGAGCCACAGCAACATGTCCAGTTCTCTGGTGGTTCATGGGGGACAAGAGTCTCATGGACTTTCCTGCCCAGGCTGGCCTCAAACCGCGATCCTCCAGATCTCAGCCTCCTGAGGAGCTGGGGTGACAAGCGTGAGCCCGAGCACCAGGACGGGGCTTCTCCACGCGGTTCTGTGCTGTGGCCACTTCCCCTCAGGTCTCAGCTGGTGCTTTCCCTGTGGCGGTGGCAAAGACAAGAGGAAATCGCCCTGGTCGGTTTGGTGGAACCTGAGGAAAACCTGCTACCAGATCGTGAAGCACAGCTGGTTCGAGAGCTTCATCATCTTCATCATCCTGCTCAGCAGCGGGGCCCTGGTGAGGACGGTGGCTTGGGCGCTGGGAGGGCAGCCTCGTGGCCCACTCTGGGGTCTGAGAAATGTGGGGAGACCCGAAGGGGGCTTAGAGGTGGGGCTTTGCCCCATTTGCAGAGTCACACTCCAACCGGAAACTCCTCCAGCCGGGAGGACTCGGCCTGTGGGGAGAATCACTCAGACCAGCACCCAGAAGCATCACTCAGATCAGCACCCGAAAGAGTCGTCCAGGCCGGGCTCTGAGGCCCACGCCTGCGACTCAGGAGGCTGAGATCCCAGGGTCGTGGTTCAAAGCCACAGCCTGGGAGACTTTTGTCTCTGATTAGCTAGCAAAAAATTGGGAATGGCAGAGCTCTACCATTGAGTGTAAAAGCTCAGGCTGAGTTCAAGCCTCCCAGTG